TGTGACAACCAACCCCATCAGGATTTTTTTTTTTTTGCTAGCAGTTGTGCTAGCAAGCACATGTTATAGTCTATCAAAGAAAAAAAAAACATTCTAACTATAGCTCTGCCTTTTAACTTTTAAATGCCAAAAAGTGTTTAATTCTAAATCCATTGTTTAAGGCAGGGGTGTCAAACTCATTTTCACCGAGGGCCATGTGAGCGTTATGGTGGCCCTCGAAGGGCCAGTTGTAGTTAACTTTGATGTTTCATGTTTAACTTTGACTAAACAGAGTTTTAACACGTCCTCTTCACTGATAAGAACTAAGTGTATGACTAACTAAATCTGTAATAAATACAGAAATTGATATAAGAAACAAATTTCATGGCCACACGGGAGTCACCCGCGGGGCCTTGTATTTGACTCATGTGGTTTAAGGTAATTCAAAATGATCACAACAATAATCAAAGGTTACATTATGATGTGAAAAACACAAGTCCTCTCATCTCATTGAAAGATGTCACACTGCTAAAATAAAAACATAGGTAGTCTGTGACAACTATTTTGGAAACTCACACGCAAAAATTTTGTAACAGCGCTTTCTAGGAGAAAAGATTTAGCAACTGTGACAACCAACCCCGTTCCCCCCAACAAATATAAACTCAATGTTGGGGGAAAAAATTATTTTTCCAGCATGGCTCATTTTAAAAACGGATGTAACTCCYAAGAATTAATTGTTGCAAGTTTCATTTAAATGTCCAGTGGTTCACAAGATATTTTGCTAACACAGAGATACTMCCCTTTGTCAAATGGAGGCAGGCGATAATGAGCTCATCTAGCTGATATGTTAAGCTATATCTGCAGATTTTCTGTTAATTAAACATTTGTCACTTTTGTGCTGAAGAGTGGATTATTCTTCAGTCCACTCAGAGCCAGTGGTTCCCTAATGTCAGAGCAGGATGTGGATACGTGACTTTGTCTTGTGGTGGTTTTCAGTCATGCAAAAATAAAAAAGCACTGCCTCAAGTAGTTTTTGATAAAGCACAGACAGGAGTCCATAAAACAGTCACAGTTGTTCCTATGGATCTCTTCTTCTCGATGAGCATGAGCCAAAAGTAGATCAAAGGAAGCTGATGATTTCATTTCTTGAATCAAAGTTCAGGGTTGCTCTGCGTGCAGCGCAGCAAAATGTTCAGCAGCACGTTAACCACGGTCTGAAGCACTGCCTGCTCTACATTTTGACTTTTACCACTCGGGGTTCCATTGAAGCTCTCCTCCTCCCTTCTGGGTCCTSTCTGCCTTCGTTTTAGTGTCAGCTCATCTCGAACAGACGCTGTCACATCAGCGCTGCCGTGTTTTTTCTCGTCCTCTCATCTGGAATTGTTCCATGTGTCCTGGGCCTGAAAAAAAAAAACATCTCCTCCTGCCTCAGTGCATCTATTCATCTTTGACATTTACAAGTGATCTGACACACGGAGTCATTCACTCTGCGGTCTGTGTGACTCAAGTGAAGCTAAAGGAAGTTTTTTTTTTAAAAGCACATAGAACTATTCAACACAAAGCATGGAGCTTCTGTAAGGCCTGAGTAAAAACTCAGCTCCAGGGGGTTCTGGCTCTAGACAAAGCTGCCATATGGCGCCACTGTGGAAGTCAACAGCAATAATGTCAGCTTTAAAATCCCCCCTCTGCTCTCCTTTCACCAAGGACGCTTTAAGATGATTTGAGGATTTGCAAGTTCAGAGCTGAGAAGATTGTTATCAGCATGTGAACTCGTGGCCCTGTCTGTGTTGGATCTGGAMCTTAGATTCAAAAGATTTTGCTTCAGATGTTTTGGTAACATTCACAAACACATGGATAAAAATATGATCTGATTTTTGACGATAAAAAGCCAAGTCGAAGACCTGATYATGGCTACAATGGCTGATTTGGTGAAAACGGTGATAAGCTTTGGGCCTACATGTGCGTAATGTCAAAGGCTGTTGTAGAACTAATGTGTCATAAAGAGAAGCAAAATCATTTTGAAAACAACACGATCAAACAGAAAATGACTCGAAACGACAGCAAAATAGTAGCAGAAGAYGAGAGGATAAATGTCCAGTGTGATTTTGTTTAATAGGTCCTAACCTCTGTTTTAGGCTCTATAGAGATTCAATTTCACTCCATTTCTGTAGGGTGCCAAGTGTAAAATAAAACGTTAAAAAAAGTCACTAACATATTTTTATTATTTAGCTCACTTTGTGATTAAAATCCTAAAGCTAAATGTAAAGTCTTAAATGTGGAAATTTACATTTCAGTATTTCTGA